CAGGTTTTTGTGTGGACCTAAGTTTACAAGTTCTTTGGGTACATACCAAGGGGCGCAATTGCTGGATCACGTTTAGTTTTTTAAGAAAGCGCCAAACTGTCTTCCAAAGTGGTGACCATTTTGCACTCCCACGAGCAATGAATGAGAGTTCCTGTTGCTCCACATTCTTGTTAACATTTGCTGTTGTCAGTGCTCTGGATTTTAGCCTTTTCTTTTTTTTTTTTTTCGGTACGCGTGCCTCTCACTGCTGTGGCCTCTCCCGTTGCGGAGCACAGGCTCCGGACGCGCAGGCTCAGCGGCCACGGCTCACGGGCCCAGCCGCTCCACGGCATGTGGGATCTTCCCGGACCGGGGCACGAACCCGTGTCCCTTGCATCAGCAGGCGGACTCTCAACTACTGCACAACCAGGGAAGCCCGGATTTTAGCCATTTTAATACGTGTGTAGTGGTAGCTTATTGTTGTTTTAATTTGTGTTTCCCTGATGACATATGAGGTTGGGGCATCTTTTCTATGCATATTTGCCATTTGTATATTTCTTTGGTGAGGTATCTGTTCAGGATGTTTCCCCATCTTTAACTGGGTGTCCAGCTTCCATTGCCCACAAGTTTACAGAGAACCTTCTCTGGGAGGCAGACAATACTGCCGCAGTTGTCAGAGACCCAGCTTGACTCGTTGGCTCAGGGAGAGGCAAGGGCAATGGGAAAACTGACTCTGTGCTACCGTCTCCTCAGGTGCCCAGGGTAGGAGGGGGAAAGTGTAGTGGTGCACAGCTGGATTGGCGTAGGGAGGAGAAGGCTGGGAAGGACTGCGAGTGTCAAGGCAGGACAGATGGTTTGTGTTCTAGGACCCCACACTGCAGGTTCAGAGGATCCAGACTTTGGAGAGAATGGAGGCTGTGATGGGATGAGGAGCTAGAGAAGTTATGGCTAGACTTGGGAGAATTTGGGGAAACAGCTACACGAATACAAAGTTCGGGGTCCCATCCTGCAGCTGAGGAACTTGGTCAGCTCTCCCCCAGCAGCTCCTGGGACCAGGACTGTGCTAGCTGTTGCCAGTCTCTAAGGAAACATTCAAATCAATGACGATAACTCAATGGTCCCTTCTGTCCCAGCTTCTGGGACCACATATGCCTAAATCACGTTAAACTTGGGGCTTCCATTAGCCTAGAATGACTGTGGGGCAATGGAGGATTCCTAACCTCAGGCCTGGACAGACGCCTTCCGTCTAGCCTTTGTCCTGTCTGAAAGACTTCATGCATAACTTGGGAGAAGCAGTAGGTTGGTGAGAGTAGATGTCAGTCAAAACTGTTTCCATAGCAGTGTGAGGCTCAGAAAGCAAGAACCTCTGGAGAGACAGGGCCCAGGACTGGGGAAGGGGCCACAGAAGTGGGAGCTTGAAAACTCAGAAGACATGTGTCTTGCTTCCTGATTTGACTGCATTGCCCTGGTTATCTTGAGCCATGCAGTCAGATATGATTGCATGTTGCACTGTTTTGTGTCAAATGTGAAAATACCTTTGACCCTTACAAAGTGGCAGAGACTTCCTCAGGAGTTGCAGGACTCCTAATGAGTGAAAGAAAAAAATCCCGTTTACTCCAATAATACCTAAAACTACACTGTCCAATGGAGTGGCCACTAATTACATGTGGCTATTTTGTTCTCTTGTTTTCTTTTGGCTGCACCGTGTGGCTTGTGGGATCTTAGTTCCCTGACCAGTGATTGAACTTGGGCCCTCGGCAGTGAAAGCGCTGAGTCCTAACCACTGGACCGCCAGGGAATTTCCTACATGTGGCTATTTAAGCTAGTTAAAATTAACAGAAGGAAAAGTTCAGTTTCTCACTCACTCTAGCCACATTTCCAGTGCTCAATGACCACATGTGGCTAGGGGCAGCAAAGCTGTAAAACATTTCCATTATTGTGGAATATTCTTTTTAACATCCTTATTGGAGTATAATTGCTTTACATTGTTGTGTTAGGTTCATTCACAGGTTCCAGGGATTAGGACCTATCTCTTAGGAGGCTGCCATTCAGACCACTGCAACTTATTATCGATTATTGTGGAATTTTCCAAATGGTGATTTTCTTTTTCTTTTTAAAAAAAAATTTTTCTTTTTATATCTTTTTTCTTTTAAAAAAATTTTTTTCTTTTAAAAAATTTTTTTCTTTTTAAATCTTAAAAATCTTTTTCTTTTTAAAAAAATTTATTTTATTTTTATTTTTGGTGTGTTGGGTCTTTGTTCCTGTGCACGGGCTTCTCATTGCAGTGGCTTTTCTTTTTGCGGACACACTGGCTTAGTTGCTCCGCGGCATGTGGGATCTCCTGGACCAGGGCTCGAACCCGTGTCCCCTGAATTGGCAGGCAGATTCTTAACCAATGCGCCACCAGGGAAGTCCCCCAAATGGTGATTTTTCTATTTCCATCATTCCTCCTACATTTATTAATTGGGATTCTACTGCAAGGAAGACCTATCCCTTCTCCTCCAGGTGTGTCCTTTTGACACGCATGCCCCCATTATTCTTTGAGGACCGCCTTACTTTTGGGCACAAGATGTTCCAGGCTTGTCCTTTTACTATTCCTGCCTCAGCCCTGGGATTACATTACTGGCCTATTTGTCTAGCCCTGCTCTGATGGTCCATTTCTGAGAAGCAAGGGGATAGTTCGTGAGGGAAAAGGACTAGCCTCTCTTCTCTGGCCCCAAACTCATTCACCTTTCTCTGCAATTAACAGGGCCCACTGTTCTTAGAAAGCAGTTTACAGAGGTGAAGCCATTTTCTTAAGGCTGCTTAGCAGATGTCACCTTCCACCCTACCTTGGTCTTGGGCTTTCATCATGAGATATGCTTCCTGGCTGGTAACACTTACACTTACATTGTTAGAAATATCACCTACAGTAAAGACTTCATCAATATGATAAGTTTCAAGATTTAAGATCTTTTAAACCGTCTTTCATGTTACTTGTTTAAATTTTTTGTTTTATCTCCCTTATCATAGGCTTTATCAGTATTTCTCAAATTCGAGTGAGCATCAGAACCACCTGGCAGACTTGTTACAGAGAATGCTGGGCCCTACACCCGAAATTTCTGATTCTCAGGCAAGGGCTGCAAATTTGCATCTTTAGGTTTCCAGGGGTGCTGATGCTGCTTGTCCAGGATCCACACTTTGAGAACCATCAGCCTGTTAAAAAAAAAATTAAACACTCATTTATTCTAACTATATTTATTCTGCTCTTAATATGTTAGGTACTGTTCTGCTGTTCTGGGTACAGAGGATACAGAGGTAAGACAAAGTCCCTGCCCTCAAGACTCCCACCTGTAAATGATAAGACATACTAAAATTTACAGTAATTAAAGCAGTGGGGTGTTGGTACAAGAATAGATATAGCAATGATACAGATTAGAAAAAACCCTGGCTTGTTACATGAGTATACATTAAAGATAGTACTAGGAATGGCTTCGGGACTAGTTTGTATAATTTAGAGAGCCTGTTTCAGGACTCACTAGCCCACTCACATGAATCACTTTTGAGGATTCTTTACACTAGGTCTTAAAATGGCTGAAAGATAGATGTGGCACCAAATTCATAACATGGAATCTGAAATTCCTAATTTCTGGCTGGTGAAGAATGGGATCTTGACAAGTCTCCAGTTTTGGTTGACTTGCAGTAATGAGGAAAATTATTAGGTAACATGAAAAACAGTTTAGCTTCCCTGGTCAATCAAAAAAAATGCCAGTTAAATATAACTACTAAACACCATTTTCAAAGCATCAAATTGAATGCATCATGGATGAGGTGACGTGGGCTATTGTAGGTGGTATGAATAAAATGGTAAAAACCACCTAGAAAGCAATTTGAAAGAAAGCATGAAAAGCTTTAGAAATATTCAAATACTTTGATCTAGTAATTCTGCTTCCAGCAACTCATTCTAAGGAAATCATCAGAAATACACTTGGAGGTTTCTGTGCCCACACATTCTACCACTTTATCATTAGGCTGCATGTAACAGAAACCTGACAGAGGCTTAACTAAGATGGTGTTTATCCTCATGTATCAGGAAGTCCAAGGCTAGTACAGCAGCTCCTCCAGGCATGCCATCACGATCCAAGCTCCTCGAGTCTTTCCACTGTACCACCCAGAACAAGTGGCTGTCTTCTTCATGCCCCAAAATGGCTCTGGTACTTCTTGGTTTCATGTTTGTGCTCCAGGCAGGATGGAGAGAGGACAAAGGTTCATGCTTGCCAAATCTGTCCTTTTGTATCAAAAAACCTAGTAAGCAGACTTCCACTTTTATCTCTTTTTTTTTTAACCGTGTAATCAATAATAGTCACCATGTGATTCAGTAGATCCTAACTTGTATCATGGTCACCTGTATTAGATCCTTACTTGTTCAAGATCCACCTGTATCTCTTAACTTACCAGAGCTGTCACATGGCTACCCTTAGCAGAAGTTGGGGAAGTATTGGTAACTAGGTACATGATTATCTCCCTCATCCAAAGTGAGGTTCTGCTGAAGAGAAAGATAAAATACAGGATCTGTTTAATTACAACATTCTCTGTAGCTATTAATGTCAGGATTTTGAATTTTACTGACCTAGAAAAATGCTCATGATACAATGTCAAGTGAGAAGCAGGACTGAGAACACACAGAATACAATCACAATTTTGTTTAGAAAAATATAATTTACATACACACACATCCCACACACAGGAAATAACAAAATGTTAGTGGTAGTTAATGTCTAGAGAGTTAGCAGTTCAGGTCAAAAGGGTATTGATGGATAGATATGTTTTATCTTACTGAATGTTTTCTGTATTTTCTAAATTTTCTCCAGTGAACGTGTATTATCTTTTTTTTTTTCCTTTTATGTTTTATTTTTATTTTTTGGCCACACCGTGCAGCATATGGAATCTTAGTTCCCCAACCAGGGAGTGAACCTGTGCCCCCTGCAGTGGAAGCATGAGGTCTTAACCACTGGACAACCAGAGAAGTCCCTAAACTTGTATTATAATAGGAAAAAAAGATGTTATTTAAAAAAATACTCCGTATGTTCTTAAAGAAGACTAAGTCCAAAATATTTATTTACACTTATTCATTTTCATCTTCATTGTCAAAAGAAAGGAGGCTACTATTTTTGATTTGCTTTTGTGAGTTTTTTTTAACTGAATCCTGCTTATTTATTTCATCTTCTTCATTTGTCTTCTTCTTTTTTGAGCTTGCTCTTAAACCGGAATATTTTTCATCTGAGGAACGCTTGACTGGTTTTCGATACATAATTCTTCCATCAGCTGAAGCTGGTTCTTCATCTGCAGCAAAAAACAAAGTTAAAAAACTTTCTTTCTCTCGTTATTTTGACTTTATCGGAGACTCAAACGGCAAGAAACTCTCATACGGTATTTATGGATGTCCTTGAGTCAATTCAGTCTGGTCTTTTCCAGTGCCTCTAGCTATGTAGCCACAAGATATGCAGTCACTTAATAAAAAGTCATGTACAGGGCGCAGTGGTTGAGAGTCCGCCTGCCGATGCAGGGGACACGGGTTCGTGCCCCGGTCTGGGAAGATCCCACATGCCGCTGAGCCTGCGCGTCCGGAGCCTGTACTCCACAACGGGAGAGGCCACAACAGTGAGAGGCCCACGTACCGCAAAAAAAACCAAAAAACAAAAAAAAACCTCATGTACCGAACGAAGTATAGTGTAATATTGCCAGCCCCCAATTCATTACAATCAGGCTATATTTTTTAAGTATCTCGAAAAGTGATTGTTTGGAACTCCAGCATTTCCTCCTAAAGCAATGTAATAAATACTACAAATAATGAAAAAAATACTATATAGCATACCACACTTCAGGCACTAATTAAATACACCTCTGTTGACTAGTTTGTAAACCTAACCAGGTATTTTTTTAAAAAACAGGATGTTTTTACTTAAATTTGCACTTAATCCTTATAACAGCCCAATAAAGTGGGCACAACTTGTCCCCATTTCACTGATGAGGTAACTGAGGCTGAGAGGTGAAATAACTTGTTCAAGGTAACATATCTGGTAAGTGTTAAAGCCAAAGTTTGAACCTAGGACTGTCTCCTTCAAACATACCATACCACTGTATAAAATGATTTCATACCTAACTCATTAAGTTGGTAGAAAAACCAGCTTACTTTCAGACATACCTGCTTTGGCAGCCTTTATTTCTGTTTTAATTTTCATGACTTCTTCAACTGATAGGTCTCCCTTTTTTAAAACCACCACTTGGGGCTGTTCATCTTCTTTGTCACTGTGATCACCATCTTCACCTGGGAGCTGAAGCTGGATTCTCTAGGAAAAAACACAAACATAACATTTAAGTTGCCGACCTTGAACTAAATACAACCACTGTCTCTGTGAGAAACTGTAATTACTAGAGTGAAGGGTAACATTATTGACTAAATGTGTTTGGCAATGAATTTTCAAGTAACTCTTAAAAATCTAACCTCACCAGAGTAGGGAAGAGGTCCACCTGCCAGTTATCCTGGGGTGCCTGTCTAAGGGAGCTGGTTTCCATTTCAGCAG